GAGAAATATTTTTTATCCATAAAAACATCATTGACTCCGCCCTGAATCACAAGTTTGCTCATATACAGCCTACATCAGGAACATGTTTTTATTGTAAGTTTGCTCACTTGTCATGCCGCATTCAACGATGTGGTCACATAAAAGATATTTTTTTTAAAACGTAAACAATTTTTGGACTAGATTTAGACAATTCTTATTTAGTATCGTGTATCGTGAACTTCGCACAAAAACCTAAGAAGTGCTATCGTAAATCTGGTCAGTTTACTTAAGGTTGTCAATATGATTTGATTTTACTCAAATAATTATTGGTCTGATGCGGAATTTTAATTTAATTTTATTGAAAATATTCCTATGTAGTTAGTGCTCCTAAAAGTCTAATTTTGCATTATTAAAAACACTTTACATCCGTGCTACATTGTTGTATTGGATGAAGGATTAAGTGAGGGGAGGGAGAGCAATGTCAATCCAATTTCAGTTGGTACGTTCTTTTTGGATGCTGTCAGAATATTTTACTCTGGAAATCTAAATCGAGAGTAGTGTTATGGCGTAAAATTCTATAGTTTGATAGATTAATTTTCGATTATTAAAATAAAACAAAAATAATTCTGATCAATAGATAATCTAGTGATACGAATTGACCGAATGATGGTTACAGTGACAAAACTGAATTATTAACGTAAGCTACCAATTAAACTGATATCCAAAGACAAGACAGCTATCCAGTTGAATCAATCATTTTTATGTAATACAAGAAAACGACTAGATATAGATTTCTGGACAAAGTTAATTTTGTAAGTTTCTCATTAATCAATGATTAAGGGCCTAACTGTTAGACTTCTACATAGCATCAAATCGTTGCAGTGCAAATTTCCCATTTTGTTATCGCATATTTGTAATGTATCTATCATTCTGGTGAAATTACTCAGCAAATTTGGGATTCAGTAGTCTAAAGATTAAGCTGTAGTAAATCAAATAATATTTTTGAGCTTCCTTTGCTTACTCTTGGATTCTAACAGTCAGTTCTTGTGATTTGTGAATCTATAGCTTATGTTATATAGACATATCTTGATTATCAATAAATATGTCTGTGTTACACTTGTTATTAAACTGGTATATCTTTATACTATTACTTCCTACTTTTCAACAGGATCTCCAACGAATATAAAGCCTATCCTTTTGACTTGTCGGATTTAAAGTTATGTTCTTCAAAACTTCGTTTCAATGAACTAGGCAGTCTGTTAAAACCTGTTAATAATATAACTGTAAACAATTCATGTAGTCCATATTTGATTGGTTTAACAGGACCGTCTGGTTCTGGTAAATCATCATTGGCTAGACGACTCGAACATTTAAGTGACCAAGTTCATGTAATCGATTGTGATCGTCTCGGTCATGAAGCATATATGTAAGTGCTTGTAAATGACATTAATTTTGAATGATTTAAAGAATTTCTTGTACAATACTGAAAAAACTACTCTCTCTCTCTCTATTTTTTAATTAGGCTGGTTGATAGTGTTTCATAACAGGTAATATTCTCTAGTTTCAGTGTACTAATTTTTCGTGAATTGAAACTGGTGATAGTCAGACTTAAAAGGTTCCTAAATTAAAGCATTTTAATGTTCAGGTTTGTGATTTTTAGATCAGTTTTTCCCTTACCGTTAATTTTATCTTAACAGAGTATCTCAGCAGAAACTAGGTATAAAGTGTATAATACACTTAAATTTAGTAGTGTATCGTCAGAATAAGTTGAGTTCTTGCATCTAGGTAGCTGTTTTATTGCTTAGGCTAATTTGATGGACAAGATCAAGTCGAATGTAGTGAAAGCAAAACTTTTTCCATTTCGTGTCACCTTTTGTACCGTCACGACGTTTTTCTATCTGAAAAAGATCAGGTATGCAACACGTGCAGCTTCACCCTGTTTGTGAAACATACCCCCTCTGGGCGCTGATGACTTAGTTTTTTATCGTAGTTGATTTGACGGAATTGCTCAGATGGCGAGATTCAACGTTGTAGTTGGTTAATGTTAAGATTGTGATTAAATGTATTCGTCTTAAAACACCAGGTTCGCTGACTGGGTCGTATTTTAGGCATGTCATCTAGCAGACTTCCGCTCTGAGCATCATTTACCGATGTTGTGTATGTAGTCCTGCAGATGATGTTATTCAGTCGTTTGTGAAACATTCACAAAATGGCTGACAGTAGATATCTCTTATTCAGTGAACAGCTATCCATTCTGAATGGTGACCATACCTCGTTTAAAATTAAAATAAGAATGCCAGTCTACCTGGAAGTTCCCAACAGTATTATTTTGTATAGGTTTATTAATCCCCTGAAGAAGTTGACTTTTCTATATGAAGTATCAGTGTTTCATTTAGTAGTGACTTTTTTGTTATCGGTACTGTTTATATTATTTCCAAATATTTTGTTTTAAAAAATACCTCAAATAGATATTGCTTTTTTGTCGCTTGAATCTACAGTCCTGGTACTCCTTGCCACCAAGCTCTTTTGTCTCATTTTGGACGAGAAAAAATAGCATCTCCAGTGCCACCCTATGCAATAGACAGAGGCCTACTAGGAAGGCTAGTTTTTTCTGATCCTGCTCAACTGAAAGATCTGAATTCCATAGTTTGGCCTGAAATATTAAAAAAAATTCTAACAGTTGTAAAAGAAATAGAATGTAAAGCATTAGAACAAGATCGGGATCCTAAACGTCCGGTTATTATTATAGATGCAGCGGTGCTTTTACAGGCTAGGTGGGATGAAATGTGCCACGAGGTACGTTCTATTCATTATATTGGTTACTCTTTTATTAACATTGCACCTTAGACAACTACTAAAGACTAAGGAGGACTGGACAGCTGTTTCATTCTAGTATGGGACTGACTCCTCAACGGTGCGCAGCAAAGACCCCGTCGGGGATCGAAACCGAAGCCTTGAGTTGTTTAATTGTAGATATATTTTCGTGTCTTGAATAAATTGTATGTTATTATCGTCTTAACAGTGGCAATAAAGTATTCGTATACGGAACCATGAAATATGGTAGTAATCAGATAATAGGGACCCTAAGATCTCGTTGGTAGAACATGCTGGCGAAGACACTCATCGAGAACAACCCTAAGATCTCTTTTCCGAGGATTTATCATGTGAATCATAGTTTTTTGCAAGAGGCTAACCAAAATGCATGACAGTAGAATTAACCAGTCCTTCTACCCTAGATTCACAGTTTAATTAAACACACATGGGTGTTATATTAGTGGTCTAAATGTGAGTGCTGCTACAGGTACTCAGCACTAAATGTAGTGCAAATGTCAACTTACTCAGTAGTTGATGCTGGAAAACATACGACAGAATCGAAGACACGGTCCGGTCTGCCAGGGGGTCGCCACGTTTATTGACTAATAGACAGATGAACGGCCCATAGTTGACCAAAGACGTTCAGAATGTGTTGAACTATTTCAACCTCAAATTTTTTCAATCTTCAGGTATGGTTAACAGTTTTATCCCAAACAGAAGCTCAGCGCCGGCTGTGTGAGAGGAACAATTTAAGTCCGGAAGCAGCATCAGAACGTCTTGCACGACAAGCTTCTGCTGTTGCTGAAGTGACTGGTGGGTACACTTGGTTTGAAGCAGGTCAGTATTGTTCTCAGAAAAGTCCTATCGACTATGCTCATGTAATTCTAAGCACAGAATGGGACCCAGAATGTTCGCAGTATCAAGTTGAAAAGTCCTGGAAAGCGCTACAACAAAGGTTAGAGTTAACTACAACAACCCAATGAGTGTTTGCTATCACGAATTTGCAATTTCTTATCTGCTAATTTGACGCTATGTATTCAATTGGTTGAGTTTTTATAATGAATTCCACTTATGGAACAAACATGATTTCTTAGCTAGTTGGACTTTTTCTATCAGTCGATGTTTATATGACCGTGCATAATAAACCATTATTATTTTCGATTAGTTTTGATTTAATTGCAAAAGACACTCTACAATCAGGCGAATGTTTTTCACACAATGAGCATTGTTCTAAAAAAGATCGTATTTGTTGAAGGATAATATTGTTTTAGTCGGTAATTGTGAGTCTGTTTGAAAAATCAGATACAGTTTTGGTTTCTAGACTAAAATTCCATTCAGCTAATTTTCATGACATGCGGTTATAATTGTCTAACCGAAACTCTTTATCTTGTCGGTGGGAATAACCGTATTTGTTTCTGTAAATCAGTGAAGTTATACTGATTATAGGACACTAGTTTAAGGTCTTACTAGACAGCTAAGTTCGCTTAAAGAATAGGGAACTTACAGGCAACTGTCGTAGGATTGAGTTATCACGTTTTGATGGGGTTCAAGAATGAGGTCATACTATGGATTAGATATGAATATAGTGCTTTCTCCCGGTAAATGGTAGTCCTAATGGTATTTTCTGATTCTGGAAAAGAGGCGACAAAGACCATCTCGTGATGTTCGCTTAGATAATCATTTCTTCTCAGACAGCGTCAACTTTAAGCACAAAGAAGTAGTAGCAACCGAAACCAAGTAATGTCTTAACTCATTTAAATCACATTACTATTAGTGACAATCAGGAGAAAGAGCTACCACTTGGTTTCGAAATAAGGTTAAGTAAGCTAGGTTGGTAGTTATGAGAGTATAGAATTACTTTGGTCTTGTTGGAGGGTTTAGCGCCATTTCTGTGTTAGTTACTGGGCCTTAGGCTCTGCCTGTAGGTCGAAATGCTTAGGATTCACACTCGTCAGATATATAATAGTTTATATAAGCTTGAGGGAACTATGCAAGTTTCAGATGTTATTAGTCAGATTATTGTTGTTCTGTGAGCACAGCTTCGTGCCCTCTACATGGACCATATTTTTCCACATCAAGATGGCATTCCACTTTTTTTAGCTGGGAGATTACGTATAAGTGTCTGACTCGAGTGTCGATGAAACATGTGATTCCTAAGTATTCACTCGAACATATGATATAAGGGATGGTTTACAATATTCTTTTTTCGTACGTATATTACGACAATACGTTAATAAGACTAATCACGTTATATCAGAACCAGGACTCGCGACCTAAACAGAGAACCAGATTAACACCAGAGAATACTTTATTCAATACAATTACAATCAGTCACATACAGTGAGTCCAGAATAGAAACCAACGATCAGAAGAAAAATCACATATTTAATAGTCCGTAGGTTATAGCTGTTTGTCCACGTTCAACGACCAATCATATGTTACCTTCACCATCACACATCAATATAATGCTAAAATCTGAGCTAACGACAATGAGTAGTAGCAATAAATAAGTTCATTGTTATAATTCGTTTAGATAATCCTGTCAGAGGCGGGTATGTTTGCTTTCAGTTTCGAGGATTTAGATCTTTTAGTTAGAATAATTATCTGTTATACAAAAAAGTTAAGACAACATAGGGGTTAGCGCGTCGTGAGAAATAATCCGACATACATCCTATACTTGCGAGACGTGGTTTTATCATTCTAACTTACTGGTTGAACATTTATTTTGAGATGACATGATCCAGTTTTTTCGTAATTATTCATTTTCAACATTAAAATCGGATTGTTTAAAACATGCTTGTTGAGGATGGATGAAAAACACAAACACTTGAGCACACATGTATTTAAAATACCTTCGCGTGTAGTGGAACTACTCATTTCGAGACGACATGCAGTTTTTGTACAATAAGAGTAGATCGCTTGATGTTCAGAGCTTTCTATAACTCAAGTGGTCGTGAAGTGTGTTACAGTTGCTGAGTCATTGCTTTTTTAATGTTGCGAAGTGTACTAACACATGCATAATAGCTCGAAGTGCTAAGCCTATATATTGTCTTATTCACTGTACCCTGATGGTTTACGGGAGAAATATTTAAATTTCTTTGAATAGCTTGGCTACATAACTGGACAATAATTTAGAGTGCAGGTATATCTCCCTAAAATATAGGGAAATATGGTGATTTTACATCGAAAAACTAAGGCCAGTAGTACTTGTAAAACAGTTTCTCAATAATGAGGCAATCCTTTAGAATATATTTTTAGAAGCTTAATGGATATTACTTCTGGTAGCGAATAAAACATGAACAAGCACATACTAAGAAGAAAATTGTCAACTGAGTTTACCATTTATGTTATTAACATGTTAATTTTAGCTGAGCGAGATGGCTACGTGAAAACAAATGAAAATAACATGCATTTTTCGTATTAATGCAGAGATTCATTGCGACAGAAAAACTAGTTATACTTATAATTAACGAGGCTTTCCAATTGATATATCTGAGTCAAGATAATTCGGTGAAAAGTAGTTTTTATGTAATTTAGTAGGTCATTAAATGAAATGAGATATTTAAAATATGTTACACATAAGCATACCTCTTGCGTAGAAGCCTAGTGCTTGTTTCAACAGTTGTAAACTATGAGAAAATCCAAAAGTTTGACTTAGCCGTTATACAACTCATAACGTGGTTGCATATTTTCTTTAACATAATAAACTGAAAAAAGTACCCATAGAGATTCGTACGACGATAGAAGCGGATGATTTGAGACTGACATCATTATAGGGATTCACTATTTATCTAGCTGTAAATCATAAAACTAACAGATCAGTTTCTCATAATTAATTTTGCAGTTTTTTTTGAAAATATGTCGAAATGAACCAATACACTTGTTGTGCTGGGTTGTAATTTATTAATTTAGATTAGGAAAAATGACGGACCATTAAATAATCAAAAATATACGAAAACAAAACACTATGGGAGTTTCCGTTTTTGGTAAAATATAAACCTATTTACAAGAGTTTAACAAATTGCATAGGGATTACAAATAAAAACAATTAACAACATTTAAACTATTATTGCGTTACCGAAAGCCACCTCATATATATAGCTGCATCAAAAAAGGAAGTGAAGTGATGTTAACATAATTAATAAAGCAAGTTTAAGGGATTTAGCAAAAATATGTTCAATCTAATGTGGATGTAATTTTAATTTGGTAGTTTGGATAGGTTAAAATACACCTTAGCTAGGGTAATTAAGCAAATAGAAAGTAAAGAAATATGAATGGATGCATGTGTTACTGAGTGTTTAAAAACTTATTTGAAATAAATTAATGGTGACTCACTTCGTTGTTATTCTTACTATTAGTGATTGGGTAGGTGAGATAAAGTTAAAACTATATCCATTTACCACTTTACACAGTTGAACACCCAAACACCGACTTGTGTGTATAATAATAAGATTAACAATTAGTTGGAGGCAAATCAGGCCATACTGGATCACTGTCAATATTAGGAACTGAACCCAAACTTGGATCACTTGTTTGTTGTATATTTTGGTATGACAGACCATGCTGAGGTCGTACCGATGGACTACCTGACAGAGTAATGATACCACCCCCTGTAGTTATTTGACCACTTGGATAACGAATTATATGTGACTCATTTCCTGTTATATAGGCAGAAACGTTTGTATCTCTACACGATCTAGGCGTCCCAACATTTTCATCATCTTCTTCTGTGACATCTGTAAAATGTGCTGAAGGTATTCTGCGTCCATCTGAAGGCGTTCTAATTATGCCAGGCTCACAAGATGGTGAGGTGGGATAAAGAGAACCACGTTCAACTGTATTTCTTGATTCTGGTAGAGTGGCTGAGTTACTAGTAAATGTAGCCGGAGCAAATGAAACATGTGGCAACTGATAACTAGGTAAGTATCCAGATGTAGAGTAAACACCTACACCTAGTGGGTTTGATGACTGTGTGGAGGGAAAAGTTTGATTGTTTCCGGGATCGGCACCAGGAGTACTACCTGTCATACAACGCTGTGAACTATAGCCCCGACTTGAATCGTGATTCTGTCGTTGTTGTCGTCTTCTATGGAAAAGCTCGTGAATATAAAGAGCACTTACTGACATGTCTGCTGTTAGTACGTCAGTTACTGTGCAGCGGCGGCCTCCTACACTTCCAATGAGGCTGTTATTAAAACCGGTATGCTGGCTTAAACCATCCTCGATCTGCGAATTATAAGGTTGGTAAAAAGGAAGACCCATGTTATCAGCAGAATGCAGTGCTGATGCTGCCATCAAGCTCATGGTTATAGGTGTAGGTCCATCAAGCATAGAATAATTAAATACGGCTGGACCAAGCTGAGATCTAATCATTTCTGAATTAGGTTTCTGTGGTACCACATTAGTTTCTGGAGAAATCTTTGCAACGTTGTAATTGGTACATGATGGTAATGTATTAGTACCACTATCACTATGAGAAACCCTTCTTACATTAGGTTCTGGTACTTGAGGTTCACGGAGATTGGAACCGGAACGATACATTGACTGAGATCCTGAACTTCTCATAGATTCAGCCATAGCTCCTACAATACCATAGGTATTTTCAGATAGCAGTCCAGAACCTGGTAAATGAGAAACATTTTTCAGGACACCTGAACTTTCAATACATGGTGCATTGGGAAGGTGAGGGTGTGTACTTCGATATATACTAGTCATTGCACTTTCTTGTGTTCCATACAGAGTTGAGAACATTCCCGAGGTTGGTTGTGAAGTAATTTTCGAAGTTTGAGTATTATTTTTGCAACTATCTTGGAATTGCTCTAAATGCTTCTGTTGTTGTTGTAGGTCCAATAATGCTTGATTTCTGATTGATTTCAGATAAGCCAAACCATCAGGTGGAAGTCGCCAAGATGGGTTAGTAAGATGGAAATGCATAAGACTAAGTTCAATTTTACCACCAGCAGCACTGTGTTGAATTGAATCACCATGATTAGTTTGTACAGTATTTTCATTCTGTTCATTAGAGTTATATGCTGGAGTTATCTCTTCTGCCCGTTTACTAGACCTGATAGTTTTCCTCGAACAAGAGTGAATTGCATTTGTATGATCATCATTATCTGTTTCACTTTGATCGTCACCGCTACTTTCTGTATTTGGTTGCCACATAGGATCACCATGACGGCGTATATCCAGCTGTGCAAAACTGCATACATCTCCAACACCAGGAACTTCAACAGTATAATTTCGAAGAAAATCAACAACTTCGAGAGTATGATTAGGAAGAATAAAAATAAGAATTAAAGGTGTAATAATTGGCGAAAATAACTCTTCCAATAGACCTACCATACGATACTGAAACAATTGTGAAAATTCCGACCTCACTTGATGTGTGCTAGCTTGTTCTTTCCAATGATCTGGCATGTAATGGATACGCATCAAGGTTGAAACTAATAAATTACGCGGACAATAAACCATATTCTCATCTGGAATTAACGAAAGACATGATCTAGCCAATAAACCACCACCAACTAGTATAGCTAAATATCCAGGCAAATGGATCATTTGTTCACGTATAAGACCAGCAATAAAAAAGGCTACTGAAGCACCACCGAAAATAAAAGCTCCTGACTCAGCTAAAACTGTAAGTGGTCGTGATACAAAACTATCAAGATATCGAGAAGCTGGAATATATGCTTGTTTCAAACGTGTTTCAAATTCATGTTGAAGTTCATTGAAATGTCGTAAATACAAGCGGGCATAATTAGACCAACGACGTCCAAAAAATGTAGATGGTTGATATCGAAAACGTTCTGCATGAGCGCATATAAACGTTACTAATTGAGCAATGAAGATTACAGGAGCCATAAGAAGATTGATCAATCCAAGAATACGTATACGAGTAGCTAGTTCAACAGCTAATTCATGACGTTTAGTAACCCATTTATAATCAGCTCTCAACTGCCAATAATTATGAAAAGGTGACCATGGTGTCCAAAACAAGATAAGTTTCAAATTGAGTAGATAACCATCAGGTAAATAAACCATTTGAGGATTTAAACTAGAAGGTATACGAAATCTGATAGGAATAATATCTTGATTAATCATTGCAATTAAATAATTTTTATGCCGAAGTATACGATTATATATATCTAATTCATCTAAATTAACTTTGTATGCACAAAATTGAAAATCACACTGTGATTGAAGTAAACGTTGTTGTACTTCGGACCATGTTAAATCAGCTAATCCAACATCACTAGATGGCATATTTAATATATAGGTACAAAACCGTCGAATTTCCCAAAATCTACTTAATCGAATACTAACAAATATGATTTGAACTATAATTGTTATCACAGAACCAACAACTAGAAGTGACGCAAAAAATGGTAGTGAGGCCCAACATTGATTCGGTGGTTGAAAGACATCAGTCCAGCTTTGAACAAATATACTGCTATTTGTTAAATAACTCCATCTTGTGCATACAGATAATTCGATTGTGATAAAAATGACAAATATGAATTTAACGAGCCATAATATTTGAGCCAAAAGAATCACCTGAACAAAATAAAGTGATTAAAACATATATAATTGACAAATGGCATAGTGTTTTAAGAACGTATCGACTATTTACATTATCACATGACTTTAAAAAGACTCTAAAGCTTAGTAAAATTAATGGTAAACAATAGGACAAAAAAAGCATTTAGGAATTATTTTCTACTAAGCTTCCACTAAATGAATAAAACACATAACAATACATATATACATAGAATTCATTATTGACAAATTGGATTTTAACAATGATAAAGTTTTTACTTAGGCTTATATCAACTAGGTGAATATTTTTGAGGTTATTTTTTTTATCATATACAGATATTAGCTGGGGGACCAGTGAAAACTAGGAAGTACTAGATTACAATTTTCATCTCAGTTTATAAGTATCGTACTACAGTGCGCACCCAAGATGCTATTAGGGAAAAAATCTTAAGTATGCCTGCTTTTCACCATTTAACGAAAAGTAAATATGTACTCGAAGCAATTATGTTTCTAACTGAAATCATTCTGGTTTTTTCAAAACTCAATAAATCTCATTTCTAAACAACCATCCATTTCTATTTATCACTATCGCCTATAACAGGTGAACTAGATCTCTTTATGAGTATATTCAGGCCGAAAATATGGCAAATTACAAATAAGAAACTTTTACAGATTGAAATCATGAGTCAGTTGAAGCTAGACCACCATTGAAAACCTGGAAGCACTGGACGGCCGTTTCGTCCTAGTATGGGACTCCTCAGCAGTGCGCATCCACGATCCCGCACCCCGCGGGATTCGAACCCAGGACCTACTTTTAGTATCTTAGGGATCACATACCTTTGGAATGGATCAACATCTTTTTCTTATAACGGTGACTTGTTTGAAGCAACACAAGTAGAATAAGAGAATGCTCGATGGATGCCCACCCTGATGGGGGGTAGGCTAGAAGAAAACTAGGGGGGTCAAATAAAAAATGACACCAGTCCATGAAGTGTACATTACCTGGTTGGGATCTGTGTGGTTCTCGTAACCAGTAGTTAGAGAATTTCAAAGACATGGTTCGAGATCATTTGCAATAGCATAGGTGCATCCGTTCTTTATCTTCCCAGGATTCTGAGTTTCTGAATTTCGCATGATTTTTTTATTTCAATAATTTCTATTTTATTGAATCGTATCTTCGATACCTAATCTTTTCTATCACCACTGTTACTATTATTACCTCAACTACTGAGATTTGCCTTAACAATTTGACCTCGCTGTACTAATGGACTATGGCAACTTGAACCGATGTACATACGTGCAAGGTTCTACATTGAGTTTTACTGACTGAGAACTAGGGTATGAGAAAACGTTCGTAAATTTCATGTCAAGTCCCCCCCAAAAGTATTCATATAAACAGAATAACGGATAAAACCTACACATAAAAATTAAGCTCAATATACACTATTAAATGGCGGATCCTTCGATTAATGAACATGGCACAGGTGCATAAATCGTTAAACAACAAAAATAATCGACGTTAATATAAACATTTTAGTTTGAAAATTGAAATGAGAGAAGGTTATTAGAAGTTATCTGTATGAGTATTGAGTCAGTTTGACATTATTCTAATTCGGAACGGGGAATTCAGTTAGGGTACAGCAAAGGTATGATAAGTACAATGATGAAGCAAAGTTACGTAATATGACGATAACTACAAATTATCGCTATAAGTATCACTGCAGTTTATGGTTTACACAAAGCCTTTATAACAAAATATCCCATTCATAATTAGTCTATCAGAATATACAGGTCATATCACTTTAAATGAAATAAATGAATATAAATAACAGGTGCTATTGGAGGTAGCCAGAAAACATTGGAATTAGCAAATATTAGAAAATTTAAAGCACTTATCATAGGGTAAAAAAAATGTCAAACTCAGTGCGATGTTTAACTAAGGGTGCAGTAAGATGTTTTTGTGTGTGGAGGTCAAAGTCGAGTATTCTTAAATTTATACTACAAGCTCTACACCGGGGATTTAAAACAGTGCATAATGCTTGGCAATAAAAGGTTTTGTATTGATTATAATAATGTTAGGGAAAATGAATTACATAAAGGTGACGTAAACTAAATGATGGACGGTGTGATGAGCTCCAAGCCAGTGAAATTATTAACATAATATTTTTAGAGATTCCTATAATTTGACGACCTAGATTATCTCATGGACTTGGCGGCTGGTATTTGTGGGTTTCCTGGAATATCTAACAACTACGTTTCAGGTGGAAGTGATCAATACAGATTTAGAAAAAAACACGATAAAGAAGAACAATGAGATCGCCATTAAATTTAATTCTGAGTTATGTCTGATAACATCTAAAATCACTGAGTGGGATGATCTTTAGGACCGCACTTAGGAAGTCATGATATGCCAACAAATGAGAATCCAATACAACTATCGTTTAACCCTCGATGCTACTGTTACCCCACCATTGTTTAGCTTTTCTCACTGTCCTAGTATCAGGAAATAATGAACAATAATGAAGTTGATGAAGCTCTGTGTTCAAAATGTATTCAGGACAGTGCGACTAATTTCAATATTACGTTAATCACTGAATAAGCTGCCATTCAGTCAGTCAGCAACAACGTAGAACTTCGTACGTACATCAGTTCGAGTTGCCATACCACATTAGCACAGAGATGCAGTTGTCGATTCAAATCCCATACTAGTAGAGGTAGTAAAAGTATAAGCAGTAATCGGAAACATAAGGGTTTGAAGATGTTATTCAAGAAGTATAATCCAGTGAAATAAAGTTGGAAAGAGAAATAAAGCGACATGAAGAATTCAGAACATTAGAATTTGGGAGAACACAAAGAGTGGATGCACCTGTGCCATTTTCATCGATTTTGAGCCATGTCATTGAACGTCTCTAACCATCGGTTGCTATTATCTCGCGGATCCCAACCAGGTAGTCTACACCTATCAACATGACTCAGTCCATTTGTCAGTGACTTCATGAATTTGTGCCATGTTTGGTCTGGCCGCCCCTAGCTTTCTTCCAGCCTACTCTTACACCATAAGACATCGCTCATCGGGGCATTCGGTGGTTGGGCATACGTAACACATGTTGCAGCCATCTCAACTGATCAAGTTTCACTACGTCATCAATCGATTTGCCATCCTCACCTAGTACCAGTTTCCTAACAACTGCGTTACTTATCCGGTGGTCCCAGGATATACGAGCAATGTTTCGAAGACACCTATAATCGAATACTAGTAACCTACGAATATACTCTACTCGTGCCGGTCATGTTTCACTGCCATAAAGTAGGACGGAACGAACTGCTGCATAGAAAACCCGTCCTTTGGTTGGTGTCGATGCCCCCAAATGCCCTGGTACGGCCGAGAGTGTGGAGGGCCCACACTCCCTCTCGAAATTCTCTCGCACGGCCACGCGTATACAGCCTCTGCCAGGAAAGTCCTACTCACTGCCTTCTCGCTAAGGGGGTGTTTTTTACGAAATTGAGGGGATGAAAAGCGAATGTCTGGCGCTTTAACCGGGTTGGTGGATATGGAGGATCCATCAAGAGGAGTTGAATAACTTTGATTCCAAACCAATAGTGCACATAAACTCCAAGATCGCGGGGAAACAAATGGCGTATGAACCAACTTCTGGTCACCGGCTGCCGTAGGACTGCATCTCCTTACGTTGCTTCATTGCTTTGTAGGTCAGACCTCTAGGTCAAAGGATCGGGGTGTGGCCCCTTAAGAAAACTAGCTGCCTTGGTCTAGGCACCCGGGCAGTATCATACCCCTCACACAATTAAAATGAAATGACAGTGGTTATTGGATGTACTGCTTTCACTTTTATTACAATTCAAACAACCCATACCCATTTGATAACACTCACTTTTATTTTTATTTTTTTGTACTATGTCACTTATCTACCCTCTTCCATTCTCACTTTACGTATCCTTACCTTTAAAATTATACAGCAGCTCGCCTACGGTGGAAATTCTGTTCAATCTAAACGATCTCGAGTCACTGACGGGTGGAAAATTGAATGCTACCACTGAATACGAATACTGAAACAGCTTTTGTGAAATCACGTGCACCGTTCAAACTCGCTTCCTTCAACGTTCGCACACTAATGAAGATCGAACAGATTGGCCTGGCTATGTCTTTAAAAAATCTGAATGTCGACGTCTGCTGTCTATCCGAAACCCGTATACAAGACTATGGTGAAGTACTACAAATTCGCTCTCCATTTGTTGCTTCAAAAGGCTTGTTTTACGTGCGTTTATCCGGGACCCTGTGGCATCTTCGTCCGGTCTTGCTAGCGTTGGTGTTGCACTAAGCACTAGAGCTGAGGCAGCACTAATCGATTGTATCCCCATTATCGCCTAACCAAAGCTCGTGAAAAGCAGATTAGAAAACCAGGCTGGTTTTCGACATGGACGTGATTGTATAGACCAGATATTCACACTACGTCAGGTCCTAGATCATAGACACACATTCAGATGCCTCATAATAGTAGTATTTCTCGACCTTAAGGCGGTGTTTGACTCTGTTCATCATGAGGTTCAATGGAAGTGTTTGTCACTGGAAGGAGTACCAAACAAGGACATCAACCCTATACAGGCTCTCTACTCGAACACAACTGGTCGAGTGAGAGCTTATGGCGAACTGTCATCAGAATTGATTACGTCAAGTAATGTTCGTCAGGGCTGTCCACTCTCTCTATTCTTGTTTAACTTTGTCGCTGACGTGCTTTTAGAGATAACACTTTCCTCATCTAAATTTCCAGGAGTTGGACTTCTACCAGGAGGTCCGCTTGTTGACTTAGAATATACTGATGACATAGTTCTATTTGGTGAAGACGCTGACAGAATGCAGTCTTCTGACCACTCTAAACGACAATGCAAACATGTTCGGGATGCGATTCTCCCCCTCGAAATGCAGAATGTTGCTTCAGGATTGGGTTGCGTCGTTTATTTACTTGAACACAAATATTGGTATAAGGGGGCACCAGATATATACGCGCCACACAATAAAAATGAGAATGGGAAGAGAAAAAGAATGTAAGGTGCGTATAAGAGAGAAGAAAAAAAAACTGAACAATAACGACCACAGATTAGTGTATGGTAGTGTAATATTAATAATAATAATAGTGGGGGAAACGGAAAGGTACAACCAGAAGAAATCTTTCAGTTAAGGAAGTTACAATAATTTTTTTAAGAAAGTAAAAGGTTACAGCAGGATCGCCACTGGCTTCTATCCTGAGTCATATCTGATAACGTCTCTAGCCACTGTGTTGCACCGTCTCTAGGACCCCAGCCAAGGAGTCGTGAAGGACCAACACAAGCCAGTCCTTTGCAGCTTTCTTTCATCCCACGACACCATGTCATATACTGACCACCTCTCCGCTTTTTCCAACCAGTTCCAGCGTCGGCAAATAACGCACGACGTGGAATTCCTTGGGACGACATTCGTAGAACATGTCCAAGCCACCGAAGTCGGTGTTTCAAGAGGATGACACCAATTGCATTATCGTCTCTGCGCCCAAACACACGATGCCGAACCTCTGCATTACTAAGATGGTGTTGCCACTGGATGTCAGCAACCCTTCGGAGACAACGATGATCGAACACAAGGAGTCGTCTAACATCCTCAACTCGGAGAGGCCAGGGTTCACAAACATAGAGCAAAACTGCTCTCACCAACGCGTTGTTGGTCCGACCTTTTACAACCAGACTAACATCACGAAGGCGCCAAACATGGCCCAGACTGGTATAAGCCGCTCTGGTTTTCACTGTACGTGAATCGATCTCATCACTCACGCCACCACCAGCACTTATGCAGCTACCTAAATACACGAACTTATTGACTACTTCTATCTGCTCACCATCCAGGGTGAGCACAGGATTAGAATTCTGCCAGTCTTGTAGAAGTACTTTGCACATCGAAGGTGCAAAGCATATACCATACCTACGGACATTGATTGCCAACTGATTGAGCGTGAATTGCATGGCTTTGGCATTATCGCAGAGTAAGACAATATCATCCGCATACTTAAGGTCGATGAGTCTTTCTCCAGGCAACAGATTCACACCACCATTACTTACATTCATCAGAGCTGTTTCCAGAATGTCATCGATGGCAAAATTGAAGAGGAATGGTGAGATTGGGCAACCCTGCCTAACCCCACTACTCGAATGGAACAATGGAGAAAGGTGGTTGTATGCCCTCACTCTGCCTGCGGTGTTTGTATATAGGGCTTTTAGGATGTCCTTTCTTATAAACTGGCGCAATCATTGATTGAAACCAGTCAGATGGGATTACGTCCAGTTCCAAGATTCTACATAAGACATCAGTCAGTTTCACAGCAAATACTGGACCACCATCCTTAAAAATCTCAGAGCTAAACCTGTCAGGGCCTGCTGCTCTCCTACGCTTCAGATTTCCTATAGCTTTTTCAACTTCGTAAAGAGTTGGAGGACTTACACCAACTTGACATTCAGGTCGACTGAAGATCGTGGGAAACAGAAGTGTGACTGGAGGCCAGTTGAACTGATCCATCGATTCGAACTCCTGGATTCAGAATGTATAATATGTCCATAGTTTTGCTAGCGGTTGGATTCCTAATACCAATTTCCCCTACAAGTCTGAAGAGTTGTTTGCTGTTACCTATTGCCGCCGCCTTTTCCATCTCATGCATTCGCTACCCACCACTGTTCGCGACCATTGCGTAGGCTTCTTGTCAGCTTGCGCATAAGCTGACTCCGCTCTTCGTCATGTTCACAGCCAGAAGGGATGAGTTTTCGAGCATCTATCAGTGCGGTAGATGATGCCGAGATCCAGTGTTTCTCCCTGACCTTGTGGTTTACCGTACTAGTAGATATCACTGCTGTTTCCACAGCTTTTCGAATATCATTTCACGCTGCCTCGGGGTGGGCATCACCTACATGGCTGCCTAACTGTTTTCTAGTTGTTCCTCAAATACACTCTTAGCTTGACTATCATTAAGTAGGAGCCTAAGAGGTTTCCTTGCAGTGTCTTTCCTACGTCCAGTAAGAAGTAGAAAAATACGCGCTCGCACTAGAGCATGATCTGAATCTAAGCATGTGCTCCAGAACGAGCGACAGTCTCCTATCGAGCCCCTTCACCAGTGGCTGATAACGATGTGATCTATTTGGGTCCAACGTTGGGACCTATTCGATGGTCGCCATGTCAAAAGATCTTTTTCCTTATGCCTAAAGTTAGTATTTGCAAGAAACAGGTGGTTGTCTGAGCATAGCTGTAACAGACGGTCGCCATTATCTGTTCTTTGAGCCACACCATAAGATCCACCCAAGTATCTTTCCTTTTTGCTTGTTTACTTACTTGAGCATTAAAGTCACCAGACACTATTACTACATCAGAGCGCCTAACATTTTGGAAGAGGTCAGAAAGCTTTCTTAAAACTCATACGCTGTATAACCTCAGTATCAAGCACATGATATCGACATAGAGTGGAGGTACTTTCTTCGATTCACTGACAAAATACAGAGTTGTAAAACATTCTGTTATTAGAGTTCTCATAAGAACTAAGAAGTACTGCTTGGACTGTAACGAGATAATTCAGAATGATATCGCGACAGGGATAGCCACAGTTGGTCTAACTCACTTTGACTTTGTTAAGTGTATTTATTTTGTGTGTCATAATCACTAACAGTCGCAAAAATTATCCAGGTGCACGATCTACATGAATATTCTCAAATGCTAACCAATAAATATTAGAGCAAGAAGTCTTCTTTTCATTCTGTAGAAGTGCTTTATACTCGGACAGTTCTAAGTGTGTCACATAACTGATACTTTTAACGGACTAAGTGCAAGGAGGATAGCCTGTGTGATTATACAGCAAAATACAATAACCCATATACAAAGCACTTCCTATTAGGACTTGGATCCAAATTATTACTACCAAATAATTCCATTAGGGTTGTTTCCAGAACATTGTCCATGAGAAAATTAAGGGGGAATAACGCAAGCGAACAACCCTATCTAGCTTTATAAAGACAGATCATTTAGTCCGACAGCACTTTAATACATGGAGTTACTATTAGACATTTAGTTAGAAAGATAAGTTGATATTACCCATTCATGATGGGTTAGTTTTAATGATTGGAGCAATGGATACGCCTTTCTACGTAATAAAGTGCTCCACTTAGCTCTTCAGACATTTTTAAAGATTATTAATAAGGGTAACAATAATTGAAGAAATTGCCCAACACGTTTCCTGATGTCAGTGGGTTGAATATACGATAACGACTTACGTCAGGTACGACAGGTAACCTTTCCTACTACTTCAATAGTGTTTAGGCCACCAAATTTCGTACGTTTCGTAGTGTTTTGTTAGGCGAAATCACGTACATTGTTGCATTTACGATCGACCGAATCAGATAGGAGGGCGCCAGTGCGTTTTAAAAAGCCCACATAAACCAAATTTATGATGAAACTGCGGCTGATGACCATCTTAAATATAGATAGGCAAATATGTGAATGACTAGTCACAATTTTTAGCATCAATACAATGAATTATAACGAATAGTGAGTCAGCGAAATTAGCATTAACGGTAAACGTGGACTTAAACAAGGTAAAACCAAACTTCCTTCAGTATTTATAGGGCATCAGGATGTCAGTATAGGTTAACAGGCAACAGGGATCGGATGTATAAACTCAATAAAAATAATATTTGTATAATGGTTCTGATACAATTAGCTGTGAATATAGTGTCAGTTGGTGAAGAGTCGGCTGAGAATAGTAACTTTTTATTCTAGCAAACTGATATTTTGCAAAGTCAATGTGAAAAACTGTATCGTAGAGTATATAAAAATAAGTCAGTTTAAGGTTGTGACAAGAATAAGCCCCAGAGACTTCACTTTTCTGGCAAAGTTAATGAAAATCAGGAAGTTCTGAGAGAACTGATAGTGTTTATATAATCGTTTCAGTTATACCAAGACCAAAACGATAGATCCTTGTATTGAAGATAGGGTCAACGTGAAGGGACGCATTCTCTTTCCTGCTGTTATAGGATACACCAGATACGAGCAAAAACCTTATGGTACTTATCGGGATGTACTTAGAAATACAGTAGGACTAATTAAACTTACAGTGAACCCCCCACTCTGATGATATTTGTAAATGTCCGAGAAAAACTGATCCAAATTTTGGATATGATCCCATGCTCCTTTTCTGTTCTGAAAACTCTGAGTTCCTCTTAGATTTGGATCTGGGTGTGGATGGTCATACTCATTAACCAAACATTCATATTTCCCTTGGCCAACGGGAAACATCTTGGCTCAAACTAACATCGTAACAGCGCCAATAGGATTGACAAGGTCGTTTAGGGACAAAATAGTGAGCCTTCGATCTTCAATTTTCAGAGATGTGTAGAGCACGTCAGTATATCATTTTCCCAGTCAAATGCCTAACTGATGGAAATTTTGGCACAAGTCTGCTGCACAGAATTTTCGAAAACCTAATATATTTCCGACGGATGAGTACTCATTTACTTACGTCTGTTACCCTTCATGGAGGTGCATAGGACACTTAGTAGGATTTCCCGTCGAACTATATTTTGGCAATTTATCCCAGTTTTAACTAGTTGCCATTCGTTCTTTGAATGCTTGCCTCCAATTCCCAACTAAGTGTGTTCTTTGGTCTTCTTATTTTCTTCTTACCTTTAGGATCCCATGTCAGAGCTTGCCTCTCGATGTGGTTTAATGATTTTTAAAACGTATTTCCTATCCACCTCAAGCAACCTCTTCTAATTTCCTCTTTACTTTGAAGTTGGTTTGTCCTCTCCCACGTTAGGCTGTTGCTGATGGTATCTGACTAACGAACAGTGGGCTCACGCTGTGAAGAAAAGCTTTCTCATCGATGTCGGTAGGTCTTTGGTAACAATAAAATTACATTGAATCATCACAAGACATCATCTTTGAAACTAAACATACACTAGCACTGAAAATTCTCACTGATTGTTGAATACTTGGCGAAACAGAGTGAAGGTCAATAAGTAAAACAGGAGAAGAATTATCAGTGCTCCGTGGCTAGGTCATACAAGCATGGCCCCTGTATATCCCTCCTTATTAGAATAAATATATTATTCATCCACCAGCATGAATGTATCATTCAAAGGTTCACACAAGTAATGGCAATGACTGCCACAATAGATCCTTCCTTTCAGTTGGGAGTAAGCAACTTTCACTGGTTCTACACACTTCATAGTACAGTGAAAGCTGACGATATGTAAAGCATAACAGTCAAGCCTACCCAGGGGACAATATAATGACGTTTATGTAAACAAATAAAACTATCAACTGAATCACTGAACTTGAATTTGTCTTTGTGTGTAGCCGAACTTATAGTCAGACCCAATTCAACCCAGTTATAGTCAAACAAAGCTTCATCAGACCCGCCCTAATGATCGGTACACACATGTTTCAGTGCTGTGATTCATAAGTCTTGCTGGAGTCTTAATAACTTCAAGGAGTCAAATTCATCAGTTATTTATCCATTTCTTATCACACTAATTCGTTGCGTCACACCACACCAAGCAGTACTTTGTTTTTGGTACATTTGCAAACCTAAGTGCCTTCAATAAACTTTTCATAAGCGGCACTATATTCCCACATAAAGGCATTCACAAAACCACATGGACTTCACCGGATCACACCACGCAAAATCCAATCGACCATATTTGCATCAACAAAACGTTCAGGAGGACGATGAAAGACGTGAGAACCAAGAGAGGAGCTGATATAGCATCAGATCACCACATGCTGGTCGCCGAGATGAAGTTGAAACTCAAGAAACACTGGACAATGGAGCGGACAATATCACAAACGTTCAATACGGCCTTTCTTCAGGATACTGACAAACTCAACAAATTCAAGGTATTCCTCAGCAATAAGTTACGGGCCTTTCAGGATCTACTCAATGGAGAAGGAACTATTATGGAGAGCAACTGAAAACGGACAAAAGAGGCAATGACTTCAACATATCGTGAGGTTCTGATTCACAAGAAGCACCATCACAAGGAATGGATCACTGTCGATACACTGGATAAGATTCAAGAAAGGAGGAACAAGAAAGCAGCAATCAATACCAGTCGGACAAGAGCAGAAAGAGCCAAGGCACAAGCTGAATACACAGAAGTAAACAAACAAGTGAAGAGGAGTATCAGAACCAACAAACGTAAATATGTGGAAGATTTAGCAATGACGGCGGAAAAGGCTGCAAGAGAAGGAAACATGAGACAATTGTATGACACGACAAAGAAACTCTCTGGAAATCGCCGCAAACCAGAATGACCAGTGAAAAGCAAGGAAGGCTAGGTAATCTTCAACATTGACGAGCAACGAAACAGGTGTGTAGAACACTTCAAAGAACTCTTGAATCGACCAGCTCCACTGAACCCACCCAACATCGAAGCAGCACCCACGGACCTCCCAATCGATGTTGGCCCACCAACAATTGAAGGGATAAGCATGGCCATCAGACAAATCAAGAGTGGCAAAGCAGCAGGACCAGACAACATTCCAGCAGAGGCACTAAAGGCAGACGTAGCGGCAACTGCAAGGATACTCTTCATTCTCTTCAATAAGATTTGGGATGAGGAACAAGTACCAACAGACTGGAAATAAGGACTTCTGGTCAAAATACCAAAGAAAGGAGATCTCAGCAACTGTGATAACTACAGGGGCATCACTATTCTCTCAATACCGGGAAAAGTCTTCAATAGGGTATTGTTGAACAGGATGAAGGACTCCATAGACGCCCAACTTCGAAACCAACAGGCAGGATTCCGTAAGGATAGATCGTGTACAGACCAAATCGCAACTCTACGGATCATTGTGGAACAATCAATTGAATGGAATTCATCACTCTACATCAACTTCATTGACTACGAGAGAGCATTTGACCGCGTGGACAGAACAACACTATGGAAACTTCTTCGACACTACGGCGTGCCTCAGAAGATAGTCAATATCATACAGAATTCATATAATGGATTAAACTGCAAAATCGTTCATGGAGGACAATTGGCAGACTCGTTCGAAATGAAGACCGGTGTTAGGCAAGGTTGCTTACTCTCACCCTTTCTCTTTCTCCTGGTGATCGACTGGAAAATGAAGACGTCAACATCTGAGGGATGCATAGGATACAGTGGACAGTTAGAATGCAGCTGGACGATGATCTGGCTCTTCTATCGCCCTCGCAACAACAAATGCAGGAGAAAACGACCAGTGTAGCAGCATCCTCAGCAGCACTAGGTCTCAATATACACAAGGAGAAAAGCGAAATTCTCCGATACAACACAGAATGCACCAATCCAATCACAATTGACGGCGAAGGTTTGGAAGATTTAAAAACCCTTGCATATCTGGGCAGTATCATTGACAAATATGGTGTATCTGATGCATATGTGAAGGCGCGGATCGGCAAAGCAAGAGTAGCATATTTACAGTTGAGGAACATCTGGAACTCAATGCAACTGTCAACCAACATCAAGGTCAGAATTTTCAATACAAACGTCGAGACAGTTCTACTGTATGGGGCAGAAACCTGGAGAACTGCGAAAGCCATCATCCAGAAGATACATGTGTTTATTAACAGTTGTCCGTTGATCAGACACTATTAGCAACAACGTACTGTGGGAGAGAACAAACCAGATCCCACCGGAGGAAGAAATCAGGAAGAAGCGCTGGAAGTGGATAGGACACACATTGAGGAAAGCACCTGTGTCACAAGGTAAGCTATCGTTTGGAATCCTGAAGGCCAAAGGAGGAGAGGAAGACCAAAGAACACATTAAGCCGGGAAATGGAAACAGACATGAGAAAAATGAGCTAAAATCGGATAGAACTGGGAAGGGAGGCCCAGGACAGAGTGGGTTGAAGAATGCTGGTTGGTGGCCTATGCTCCATTGGGAGTAACAGGCGTAAGTAAGTTATTTTTGGTAGGGGAGGAAACACGTTCCACTACTCGTTGTAGTGTACATGTTAATAAACGACAACAAACATTTAAGTGTGCCTAGTATTGCAATAACTAGATTCATGTATCTTAAGAAGTCACTTCGTATGCTAAAACGGTTAAATAAACGAGTCAAGTGTTTAGATGAAAATGTAGGTAATTGTGGACACAATTTACCTCTGTATTGGCCGAATAAGCATTCTACAGTGAACAAAACTTGTCCAATTACTAGTTGGACACATTCTTCTGTTTGCATAAAAGGAGTAAAATCTATCGAACAAGGATTTTTTTTAGTTATTTACTTGTCGATAATCAGTAATGTTTGGCGAATACCTTGTTATAGTACTTTGATTATCATAATGTTGACTACGACAATATGTTTTTTTACCCCATCAGTCTGAGTTCTCCTATTAACATTGGGATATACCAAATTCTTTGCAGTATTTGGAATAATTAAATCTGAGAAATCTTTAGAAACAATTTATTTTAAAGAAAATATTACTGTCTTCTTGTTCTCTTCCTAATAAACAATACAATCTATACATAGTTCACAAAAACAAAAATCAAGAGTTAGGTGATATCAAATAGTCTGCTGTAGATTTTAACAAATTTCTAAATATATATTTTATTCTTTGATTCATTCTGTCTACTTCATTCAATAATATTCGTGAATTATTTACATTGGTTTGATATGTTCGTATCTTGTCAATTTGATCATTGATTATTGAGTCATCTTTTAGAGAATCATCTATTTGTAAGTCTATTGGTTGTATGAATCTAAATTGAGCTGCGCTTAAAAAATCTGACTTGTATTCCAAAAGATTTTTTGTATAGGACAGGATATGATTCTGTAAAAAAAGGTAGAACTTATAAAAACTTCTCGAAATGTATATATTATGAATTAACGTAAAGAAAAATATATTATTTGAACGGTTTAAAGCATACCACATTTGTTCAGTACATATAAATTAACAGTTTAATTGGACACATTTATCTCTATCAGTCTGGTATTGTTGTTGTATCCATTTCCATAATTATTTGACCGTATTTAATTTCGGTTAGTAAACATGTTAGCGTACAGGTTCACTCATCGGTAATACAGCTCTTGTTAACAGTTGAAGTAAGTTCCCGTCATGGACTTGTATCATTCTGAAGAATCGCTTAAAACTCAAGAGCGCTGAACAGATGTTGTTTTATTTTGGATTTGTTTGACGTACAAAGGACTACACACATATCACTTCTCTAGGGGTTTAACCACAGACCTCCGTGTTATATAGTCGTTCGGCAAAAAGGTAGACTTTAATCATATTATCTGTCATACTGAATGTATATCTATGTCGAAAGACGTATCAATAAGCGTCGAATTGTTTATCGCAATCCTTGAAGGTGAACGAACTGGTTTGGTGTGGTCAGCAAAAGATGGGAATCAGTCTCACTCTGTCTGTCATTCATTTTCTTTTATTCCCACTTGAATATCACTCAATCGTCCAAGATTTTGAATGAATCCTACTAAAGTACGTAGTACTTTAAACTGGTGTAGCTATGAGTTAACTCCGCCTGTAGCTCTTATAGGGTTGCTGCCGGTCCCAAGCCCGGGTAAAGGAGGAGGGTTGAGCATGGGGTTAGCGTCCCCATCCCGTAGAAAACTAACTCGCTAAAAAAACGCTTACCAGAAAAAATAATCCAAACCATTTTAACTCTGCCCTGGGAGTTAGAAGGTCTTCATTTAGAAGAATTATGACGCTTCATGGTGAAAGCCGAGCTCCTTCGGAAGCCACAAGGCCGATGCTCCTTCTAACAACCAGAGCAAAAATTTTTATAGGTACATGGAACGTTCGAACAATGTGGGAAACCGGGAAGACCAGTCAAATAGCAATGGGAATGAGGAGATACAACTTAGCTGTACTGGGAATCAGCGAAACCCACTGGACCCAAGCTGGACAGAAAAGGCTAGCTACGGGAGAGATGCTGCTATACTCCGGTCACGAAGAGGACAATGCTCCACACACTCAGCGAGTCGCTCTTATGCTGTCCAAAGTAGCACGAAATGCACTTGTAGGATGGGAATCTCACGGATCCAGAATCATCAAAGTATCATTCAAAACAAAGAAGGAGGAGATCTTGATGAATATTATCCAATGTTATGCACCCACCAATGATAGCAACGACGAAATTAAAGATCAATTCTACGAGCGGCTGCAGTCAAGCATAGAGAAATGCCCAAGGAAGGACCTAACTATTCTGATGAGAGATCTAAATGCCAAAGTCGGAATAGACAACACCGGATATGAAGATATTATGGGACGACATGGACTGGGACAGAAAAATGAAAATGGAGAACGATTTGCAAATCTATGTGCATTCAACAAATTAGTCATAGGAGGCACAATATTTCCATACAAGCGTATTCACAAGGCCACATGGATCTCACCGGACCACACTACAGAGAACCAAATAGATCATATTTACATCAACAAAAAATTCCGAAGGACAATGGAAGATGTGAGAACCAGGAGAGGTGCTGACGTAGCTTCAGATCACCACCTAGTTGTAGCCAATTTAAAACTGAAGCTAAAAAAGAACTGGACAAGTGGACAAACAGCAATACAAAGGTTCAATACAGCCTTCCTTCGAGATACTGACAAACTCAATGAATTCAAGATAGCTCTCAACAACAGGTTCCAAGCCTTTGAAGATCTACTGAAGGAAGAAGAAACTACTATGGAGGACAAATGGAAAGGCATCAAAGAAGCATTGACTTCAACGTGTCGAGAAATTCTGGGCCTAAAGAAACACCATCATAAGGAATGGATCTCTATAGAAACACTGGACAAGATCAAAGAAAGGAAGAACAAGAAGGCAGCAATTAACAACAGCCGAACACGAGCAGAGAAACTCCAAGCACAAGCTGAATACATAGAAGCAAACAAGCAAGTGAAGAGGAGCATTAGAGCCGACAGGAAGAAATACGTGGAAGAATTAGCAACGACGGCAGAAAAAGCTGCTGGAGAAGGAAATATGAAACAGCCTTGCGATACAACGAAGAAACTAGCAGGGAAATACAGTAAATCAGATAGGCCGGTCAAAGACAAAGAAGGCAAGCCAATCACCGAAATTCAACAACAGCGGAACAGATGGGTAGAATACTTCGAGGAAATCTTGAATAGGTCGGCTCCAATGAATCCACCGGACATTGAAGCAGCACACATAGATCTTCCTATAGATGTCAATCCACCAACGACGGAAGAAATCAGAATAGCCATCAGACAAATCAAGAACGGGAAAGCAGCAGGACCCGACAACATACCAGCTGAGGCACTGAGGTCAGACATCGAAGTAACTACAAACATGCTTCACCTTCTATTCCAAAAGATTTGGGAGGAGGAACAGGTGCCGATGGACTGGAAAGAAGGACACCTCGTCAAGATTCCAAAGAAAGGAGATCTGAGCAAATGTGAAAACTACAGAGGCATTACACTACTGTCAATACCAGGGAAAGTCTTCAATATAGTGTTGCTGAACCGGATGAAGGATGCAGTAGACGCTCAACTTCGAGATCAACAAGCTGGATTCCGTAAGGATCGGTCGTGCACAGACCAAATTGCAACACTATGGATCATCGTCGAACAATCAGTTGAGTGGAACTCATCACTATACATCAACTTCATTGATTATGAAAAGGCATTCGACAGTGTAGATAGGAGGACATTATGGAAACTTCTTCGGCACTACGGAGTTCCTGAGAAGATTGTCAATATTATCCGGAACTCATACGACGGACTACAGTGCAAAGTAGTGCATGGAGGACAGCTGACAGATGCATTCCAAGTAAGGACCGGAGTCAGACAAGGCTGTTTACTCTCTCCCTTCCTCTTTCCTCTGGTGGTCGACTGGATTATGAAGACCTCAACATCTGAAGGAAAACACGGAATACAATGGACAGCTCAGAACCAATTAGACGATTTGGAATTCGCAGATGACCTGGCCCTCCTATCGCATACACACGAACAGATGCAGATGAAGACAGCCAGTGTAGCAGCAGTCTCTGCATCAGTAGGCCTCAGCATACACAAGGGGAAAACCAAGGTCCTCAAATTCAAAGCGGAGAACAGCAATCCAATCACTCTTGATGGCGAAACTCTAGAAGATGTAGAGTCCTTCACATACCTAGGAAGCATCATCGATGAACAAGGAGGTTCAGATGCAGACGTAAAGGCGAGGATTGGCAAAGCAAGGGTCGCATTCCTACAATTCATGAACATATGGGACTCAAAACAACTTTCAACCAATATCAAAGTGAGAATCTTCAATACGAACGTCAAGGCAGTTCTACTATATGGAGCTGAAACTTGGAGAACTACAACAACCACAATCAAGAAAGCACAAGTATTTATAAATAGCTGTCTACGCAAGATGCTCAACATCCATTGGCCGGATACCATCAGCAATAGCCTTCTGTGGGAGAGAACAAACCAACTTCCAGCTGAAGAAGAAATTAGGAAAAGACGATGGAAATGGATAGGACATACATTACGCAAATCGTCGAACTGCACCACGAGGCAAGCCCTAACTTGGAATCCTGAAGGGAAGCGAAAAAGAGGAAGGCCAAAGAACACATTGCGTCGGATAATAGAAGCAGATATGAAAACGATGAATTACAACTGGACGGAGCTAGAAAGGATTGCTTGGGACAGGGTTGGATGGAGAATGCTGGTGAGCGGCCTATGCTCCTTCACGAGGAGTAACAGGCGTAAGTAAGTAAGTAAGCTATCAGGTTCCAAACTCCCGAGTATTATCAAGTTCCAATTTTACGTTGCTAACATCAAAATATGGCCGGTATTATCAGAAGATACTGATATAAGGGGACTCCAGGCCGACCTCGATGTCCTGGCAAGCCGATATGAGTTATGGTTTGTGTTTGCTGATGTGTCTGAGTGTATCTATATACACATTAGTCACGCAGATGGCAATAACATTAATATTGGGAAAACGTCAGTGCATTTAGTCCTAACTTACTATAATTTACAAATCATAGTTAGTCGTGGCCTTAAGACCACAGATCACTGTCTTTTGGTTGGAGCAAAGGGGTTTGGAGCCGTTTATGATTAAGATTTACTTTGACCGTGCTGCATACATATATAATTAACACTATTCATATAACCCTAGGGAGTTTTAAATTGGTAAGTGACTCAGATATCATGAAAAAAATACAGAAGACATCTACCAGATCAGTTCCTGAGTTGTATGTCTTATCACGCATATTGCTGCTTGATAATTTAGAACATGGATTAAGAGATGATTTGATTATGATATTTAGGTTACTGAGAAATGATTTTGGGTGGGATATATTCCATCTTTTCCTTCCAGCTAATTCAATACAATACAGAGGAGACAGCAGCCGATTTCAAAAGCCATGAACAAACAAAGTCTTTACCACGAGCACTTTTTCCATACCATTATCTTGTCATAGTACTTTATTAGATTCCATATTGAGTAATCACGTAGACTGGACTTTTTTCCCAGTATACAAACTTACTTTTACATTATCTACAACTCTGTAATATATCAATGGTTGAAACAATTTTTCTTGAACTAAACATACCTGCAGATTATCAGACGTTTTGATTAAAACACTACATAATTCATTAATTCGATTGAATAACTCCACATTACAATGTCTAAGATTTTCTGGGAAATTTGGCAATAAACTAATTTTCATTTTATAACGATAGGATCTTTCTAATTTCCAGTTGAAGTTTTCTAAGTAAAATATTAACAAAAGGATATATAAATAAATCTAAATAACATTCATTCTCATTTTTTCTTAACAGCTCATGTTTTGGTAGCAATACTGCAATGATCAGTGTTTACAGAGAACTGGAACATTGAGAATAAAGTTACGTAACAGGTTCAAGTAGTATGATCACAAATACGAAAATATGTTTTTAGGCTGAAATCTATTAATAATTTAAGTCACTTTTCATTACTGGTAAATTGATCAGTTCTTTTTCAACATTTAGAACCTGTTACCAAGAGTGTTACATCCTTTAAAAAATTTACTCCAAATGGCCGAATTATTCTATTAAATAAGTTTCTGGATTTGTTTAACAAAGGAGGCTTGATTCTGACCTTATAACTATAGTTGTTTGTTCTAATAAAACTGAATACCATAGGAAATGTTTCTTGGTTCAATATTTATGATGAATAGATCGTCATTTAGATCAGTAGCCATATTGCAAATTGATCGGTGAAATTCGATCAGTGCTAGATTGACCAGATAAACATGGCATTAGTAATCAATCAAGTAATCAATCTGTGCAAGCACAATGTATCGTTATATGAAGTCGTTGATTCTGGTGATTCATACTATATCAGTCGATTGATTACAGTTAGGCTAGTAAACCTTCAAAGCAAAGTAAAGGATCATTCAAATCAACAGTAAAAAACTCATTTACACATCAAAAATTGTCATTGATATTTATTAAAGTTGGATAGTGACTAGCAGTGAGATTAAGGATTCTTTAGTTAAAAGTGCTTGCATACCATTAGAATCTACTTCTGGGCATTATTTAACACTAATAAAAAAACATGTGGCTTAAGATAACTATTAAGGTAATCCTCTCTAGATGTATATATACCAACAGAAACTGATCAGTTATGTTCCTTAACCTATACAATGGTGTCATATAAACCCATACAAATGTTTATGGTATTATTACCAATTAAAATTTAATTTAACGCTTAATATCAACTTACCTAAATCACTTTTCAATTGATAAATTGCCTGATTTAATTTTTCTTCATCATTTTCATATAATGTACACTGGGCAAATTGTTGGTAGATTAAACACATTTCATGTCGAACTCTTCTTAAATTTATTATATTAACGTTAATTTTCTATAAATTACAATGAATAGAGACTTAGGACGGGTCAACCAATTTGTTATGTTACACAAAATCACACACTGCATTTATGAAATATGAAAATAACACGTTAAATACACTATTTGTTCATCTTCTTTGAGTTATCCCTTATAAACTTTAACATTCTTTCATTCCTGTCGTTATTTTATTGTTTTCTTTTCTCCTTTTTCTTTTATTCTGTTCGTAAGAATTCTACTTTTAATTCCTGATACATACTACTTATATCTGTCCGTACAAGTAGCACATATTACAATATGACATATAAATGTTGGTTATCATTAGAAAGTTTCATTTGTGTAGAAGACTGTTAAACTTTATTTTAGAGTTGTAGTTAATTAATTAATCGAATTTCATGTTATCAGAAACTGTTAAATATTTATAAGGTATTACAATATCGAGGCAATCCTCACGGGATGCATATATACCAATAAGAGACTGATCAGTTGCAGTCCTAAACATCAATGGGAAGATTCAAACAATCAACACAAAAATGAATTTATAGAGTAATCATAATAATCAGTTATTCCTGTTCTAAGTATACGTTAATGGTATTATCTAGAAGTATAGTTAACGCTTCATAATTAAATCATTCAGTTCAGAAAACGTGTCATATAAACCACTACTTATCGAGTTTTAATGACTTGTTTTAAGGTCAGTATTCTACAAAGTGATCAAGATTAAGAGTATGTGATTATTAACAAATATAAATGGAGGGTTGGTGATATCAAATAAAAACTTTAAGCATGAATATCTGAAATCTTCAACCTATTAATAAATGAATTTATATAACTGGTCTTCATTGTACTTTGATAAATCATGCTAGATGTTATCACACTATTTAAGATACCTTGATGAACTGCCTATGTACCTGGCTCCAAAGTAGCCTTGGATTTCATTTACAATATTCAGCTAAACATTTCAGGAAATCTAAACATAAAACTATTTCAGAAATTGTGTACGAATTACGCACTCTATGTTAATATATCTTACCCTTATCTGTGTAAACTACAAGTTTTATTCTGTGACAAACCATTTAATTTCAATATGTTTATTTTGGTACAAAACGTGATTAATTATTTAGCTTGATATAATAGTAATTGACATTGATTTTAAGTAAATCCCTTTAAAAATAAATCACGTCATTTGCATATATCACTTATCCAATGAGACCCTATTGAAAGTGGTTTAGACTCTGGGAAAACCTATTTATATTACTCAATATTTCCTCATTTATTGTCTACAGTTTTGAATTTATCTTCTCACTGTAACGATCTTTCATAGTTCACTTAGTCGAAGACACTTTTCTCTGGATCGACTTGTAGCTCTTTTTAAATACTACTTTTTGTAATACAATATCATTGTACTGATGTGTTTTAGCAACTTGTGCTAACGTACACTTATGGCAAATTTTACGTTGATTATAACTGACTGACCTACACTCAATAATATTGTTGATGTATTTATATAAGATAGCTATTAGCTTAACCTAATGTTCTTTCTTTTGATCAATAAATCTATCAATGGTTCGATATTTCGATTACCAGAAAAATGTATGAAATTATCTACTCTTATTGTTCACAGGTTATTTCATTGTATTTATCAAGATATATCAGATAGATGTTTACTCAACCGAATTAATAGTACTGTGTTTTACTATAATTTATAATTTTGGTCTGTCAAGTGGTACACAGTATGATTATTTAATATTGTATGTCATTTTTAATCATAAAATTAATAAACTCAGGATATTCATCCTACTATTGGACTGTATCCTTTAATACTATTTTGAGTACTCTGTATATATATATCCAGTAAAAACAAACACTATCAGCTTGTAAACTAATACACATGTTTTTGTGTGTTTATCGTTTCAATTGCGTAATCAATAATTTTTTTTTAAAAAATACCATAAATATATAAAACAAACAAAAATTAACATCACGGATTGATTGGAACTAGACGTGTACACCATCGGATCCCGGCTCAGTGATCATAAGAGAAACTAAAGGTCCTGAATTCGATTCCTGGCTGTAGGATTTTGGATGTGCACTAACGAAGAGTCCAATACTAGGAGAGAATGGGCTTCTAGTGTTTCTAGGTTTTCAATGTTGTTTTTTTATATTATACTTGAGATCGTTTCTTGATCTCAATGAAATTCAACAATCCATACAACCCCATACTGACAAAAATCAATCAACTTACTAACCTCGCATTCTTCATCAAGTTTTGGTATATTGACTTTTTCTAAGAGTACATTGTCTAAAATGATTATTTACAGAAATAAACAGTTTGAATTAATGATCTTAATTTTATGTAAAATAATGTTGTATGTCTATTGTCAAAACATTATGAACTTCAAAATCAAATACTGTCTATTTTGTTACTAAATAATTCAATGTTAAAACTTTAGTATCTGTGATTTCATTACTAAATCAGAGTACCTTTATAAAGCCTAGAGATTTAAATTAAAATAGCGAGTCATCTTTGTTGCTCAGTACTTACTAGTAAAAAACCTAGGTGTTTATTTTTCTATTCATTGATTGTTTCCATCCATTAAGATTATTCTGAAATCAAACAAAAAGATTGTTGGGTATTCTTCTATCTTGAAAATGTTCTTGTATTTCAGGTCAAATGGTAACTGATGAAAGACTTACTATGATATTTTATTCTAGTTTCAGTTTACCTGGTTTGTCTAAAAATCAAACCAGTTTTAAATAATTTACAAACATTTCTAAACTAATATATGAGAGAAAGTGGATAATGGCTAGCAGTGGAATTCAGGACGCGCGTTTTGTTTCATTTGGGACTCAATCAATTGTAGTCCTAAATAACAATGGGGAGATAGAAGTAAACGATATCAAGTGAATTTAGATTTTCACCCCATTAGACAAGCAGGTGGCTATCAGGACTCAGTAGCTAAGTGGATAACGCGATGGAGTTTGAAGCGAACGGTACTGAATTCGAGTCTTAGAGTGAACATCAACTCTGAGATGCGGGCACATCCAGCTGACGAGTCTCAGACGGGACGAAACACGCGTCCTGGATTCCACTTCTAGCCACTATCCATCTTTGCTTATAAAGCTCGTTATCTAAGGCAATATCGAGACGGTTCGCACAATATACACATATGCCAATATGAGACTCATCAACTGCAGTCCTAAATAACAATGGGAGGATAAAAGTAAACAAAACCAAGTGAATTTAATATATGAGGTTTGAGGAGATAGTTCAATTTGTAGTTTCCCTTATGAACTGACTGACTATTTAAAACGACCACCGATGATTAGAATGCACTGAACAATTGTTTTGTTCATTCATTAGCATAGAATTATAATTTCATTGCAGTACATGAAGAATTTAACCTAGATCCTGTCTGGAATCATTAAAAGATAATGATACTAATTCTCAAACTAAAACCAAACAGCTTTCTAGTGATTTCCGGTTTTAAAGTTTCTTTACTTAACATCAGATTATGATGTAAAACCTCTTCAAAATAAATAAAAACCTAAAATATAAATTAATAATAAATTTATTAAACTTGGTATACAATTTGTGGTTCAATTTTCAAAAATATTTTATTTTACTTACTTTTGTCATGTTCACATAGGCTGTTGGAATAGGTTCTATAACGTAGACTAACAAGTGGTTTATTGTATTGTGTAGTTTGATAAGTCATTTTCGGTTATAGTGCGTATTTCTAAAAAAGGTGAATTCATCCGCTATTACATTTAAAGTGGAATGATTGTTGAATAACAATGTTAAGTTTGTTCGATGTCTAAGCATGTATATATATATATATATATATATATATATATATATATATATATATATATATATATATATATATATATATATATATTAATCGTGAAGAGATAATTAACAATGTTGGATGCTGGATCAGGGGTCTAGATGTTAAGCGTTCGCGCGCGAGACTGAAGGTCCTGGGTTCGAATCCCGCAAATGGGGCCGTGGATGCGCTTCGCTGAGGAGTCCCATACTAGAACGAAACAGCCATTCAGTGTTTCCAGGTGTTCAATGGTGGTCTAACATCAATCGATTCATGATTTCAATTATGAAACAAAAACATTTACTTTTGGTGTTTCAAATAGACCACCGAGTTTCGCATATACAAAACCGTATTTTCTGCACGATATATTTCACCTCCGCTTGTAATTTGTTTAAATTGACAATGATCTAATATTGACAGTCACGTGAAGTCAGTTAAAATGAGTGAATGGATCAACGGACTTATACGAAGAATAAACGTAAAATAAACTTTGTCTATTAGTTCATTTTCTATTTCAAAGGTAAAAAAAGACTGACTCGTAAACTAAAATAACTCACATTTATTAACGGTACTGATTTCGTTCATTATTATTGACTAATATGATCAATAATTGGTATATTTGTACTCAGAATTTATTATTCAGTCTTTAAGCTAGAATAGAGTGGCTTGTTTAGAAATAAAACACATGAGTATCAGTCAATCACTATCATCAGTTCCAGTTTCCTTAATTAAACACTTTCGTTGTAGGTTGGGTTCGTCATCCTCAGTTGAAATGAAATATTTGAGACATTGAGATTATAACATGAAATGACATTAGATGAAAATATTGAAATGACTAGGATATTGAGACTGATAATTTTCCCAATGGAATCAAACTCTAATTACTTAATCAAATAAATCTTAGAAGATTGTATTACTTTCCAAATGGCTAACTACATTAGTACGTATTTGGCAAATGAAACTGGAATATGTACACAAAATTTTCGATCGTCATGGTGTGATTGTATCAGTTATCGGATAAAATAAGTGAGTAATGGAGGTCACAAAGTAACTTATAGACCTTGGGATATATATAATTTTAACTGTTACAACATGCCATTTTGCGTTGACTGATATTAATATTAATTGTGATTGGAATAAGACAAATTTACTTTATTCCTTAGACATTGTATCTGTTGTCTCGCTCCAAACTATCTCAACAACTGGGTATGCACATTTTGAGATCATGTTTTTTACCTATCGATATGACATCGTATATAAATGGTGATTATAATCACCGTTACTCACAAGTAGGTTTACCTAAATATACTTACTGTATCACTTTTGCCCTATCCAAACGGAACAAACACTAATGTACTATCAGTAGCTAAAATTCAAATCATCTACCGAACTTAACCTATTAAAGGCTAATAAATACGAAAAAGTAAATGACTAATGAACAGGATGCTGGTTTGTACAACAAACTTTGAAGATGTATGTGTTATGTATTAAAATATGCTACATTTTCATATATGATTGGTCAGACAAAGAGTTATAACTTTTTGATGTTCCTGATGTTAGATTTCTTTAAACGGGCGTAAGTATAGCATTGAGTCCTAGAGCAGAACTAGCTCTCTTAGACTGGATCCCAGTAGACAGTCGTTTGTGCGCTCCCCGACTTAACGGAACAGTAAGGACTCGGAAAGATAGGGACACTCGTCGTTGCCTCTTCGTCGTATCTCCCTACTCTCCCACTGACTGCAGCTCAGATGATGTAAAAGATGTGTTTTACAGAAATCTTTCCGATCTTCTCCGAAAAGCTAGGCACTCTGATGTAGTAATAGTGGCTGGTGACTTTAATGCTCAAGTAGGTAAACTAAGCGAAAGGGAAAGACACTTGGGTGGATCATATGGTGTCGTGGCTCAAAGAACAGATAATGGCGACCGTCTGTTACAGCTATGCTCAGATAACCGCCTGTTTCTTGCAAACACTAACTTCAAGCATAAGCAAAAACTGTTATGAGTTTATGTCCGGCTTTTTACCACGTGATTTATCCACTAATCAAAATACGACTTATACAATCTTAGCACTATGACAAACCAATGACGTTCAACCGGTATGGGCAGCCTAGAGTCCTTATTGGTCCTATGTTCGCCTAGCCCGTCCATTTCAGTCCAGAACACCAATACCAGCTTCCACTATGCGAATCATATATTTAAAACACACTGTGTTTATATATTAAACAAACAGATTGCAACGCACCATCAAATAGAAAATAACTTTAGGCATAAGGAAAAAGATCTTTTGACATGGCGACCATCGAATAGGTCCCAACGTTGGACCCAAATAGATCACATCGTTATCAGCCACTGGTGAAGGGGCTCGATAGGAGACTGTCGCTCGTTCTGGAGCACATGCTTAGATTCAGATCATGCTCTAGTGCGAGCGCGTATTTTTCTACTTCTTACTGGACGTAGGAAAGACACTGCAAGGAAACCTCTTAGGGTCCTACTTAATGATAGTCAAGCTAAGAGTGTATTTGAGGAACAACTAGAAAACAGTTAGGCAGCCATGTAGGTGATGCCCACCCCGAGGCAGCGTGAAATGATATTCGAAAAGCTGTGGAAACAGCAGTGATATCTACTAGTACGGTAAACCACAAGGTCAGGGAGAAACACTGGATCTCGGCATCATCTACCGCACTGATAGATGCTCGAAAACTCATCCCATCTGGCTGTGAACATGACGAAGAGCGGAGTCAGCTTATGCGCAAGCTGACAAGAAGCCTACGCAATGGTCGCGAACAGTGGTGGGTAGCGAATGCATGAGATGGAAAAGGCGGCGGCAATAGGTAACAGCAAACAACTCTTCAGACTTGTAGGGGAAATTGGTATTAGGAATCCAACTGTTAGCGAAAGTATCTCGAGCAGAGCAGACTAGAGAAAATCAGGCTGTTTTTCTAGATGGAAGTGACTGTATAGACCAGATATTCACACTACGTCAGGTCCTAGATCATAGACACACATTCAGATGCCTCATAATAGTAGTATTTCTCGACCTTAAGGCGGTGTTTGACTCTGTTCATCATGAGGTTCAATGGAAGTATTTGTCACTGGAAGGAGTACCAAACAAGGACATCAACCCTATACAGGCTCTCTACTCGAACACAACTGGTCGAGTGAGAGCTTATGGCGAACTGTCATCAGAATTGATTACGTCAAGTAATGTTCGTCAGGGCTGTCCACTCTCTCTATTCTTTGTCGCTGACGTGCTTTTAGAGATAACACTTTCCTCATCTAAATTTCCAGGAGTTGGACTTCTACCAGGAGGTCCACTTGTTGACTTAGAATATACTGATGACATAGTTCTATTTGGTGAAGACGCTGACAGAATGCAGTCTTCTGACCACTCTAAACGACAATGCAAACATGTTCGGGATGCGATTCTCCCCCTCGAAATGCAGAATGTTGCTTTAGGATTGGGTTGCATTGACACCCGAACTAATGATAGGGAGTGAAGTAATTGAGCGTGTCGAAGTTTCATCAGCCCTTGTGGTCTGGTGTTTGACGAAATCTCAGCACGGATACGGAAGGCTCGACTGGCTTATGCCAACTTGCGTCATTTATGGCTTAGGTGAGATATCCGTCTATCAACCAGAGGACGGGCTTACGCGCAGCAGTTCGTTCAGTCCTACTTTATGGCAGTGAAACATGGCCGGTAAGAGTAGAGGATATTCGTAGGTTACTAGTATTCGATCATAGGTGTCTTCGAAACATTGCTCGTATATCCTGGGACCACCGGATAAGTAACGCAGTTGTTAGGAAACTGGTACTAGGTGAGGATGGCAAATCGATTGATGACGTAGTGAAACTTGATCAATTGAGATGGCTGCAACATGTGTTACGTATGCCCAACCACCGAATGCCCCGATGAGCGATGTCTTATGGTGTAAGAGTAAGCTGGAAGAAAGCTAGGGGCGGCCAGACCAAACATGGCACAAATTCATGAAGTCACTGACAAATGGACTGAGTCATGTTGATAGGTGTAGACTACCTGGTTGGGATCCGCGAGATAATAGCAACCGATGGTTAGAGACGTTCAATGACATGGCTCAAAATCGATTAAAATGGCACAGGTGCATCCACTCTTTGTGTTCTCTCAAATTCTAATGTTCTGAATTCTTCATGTCGCTTTATTTCTCTTTCCAACTTTATTTCACTGGACTATACTTCTTGAATAACATCTTCAAACCCTTATGTTTCCGATTACTGCTTATACTTTTACTACCTCTACTAGTATGGGATTTGAATCGACAACTGCATCTCTGTGCTAATGTGGTATGGCAACTCGAACTGATGTACGTACGAAGTTCTACGTTGTTACTGACTGACTGATATACATATATATATGGTGATATCAATCCATTTGTTGTTTTTTTTCACTGAAGTTAACGATTGATCATGGACAATTATATTAATTAGCTCATTAAAAGAACAATATAACTAAATGATGGGAGAAAGTACAAATTACAAAGATCAACTTAAGGGACAATGAGTTTGCTTTTTTTCTCTATTTTGAAGTAATTTACTTTTTTTTCCTTCAACTTATTAAGGAGAAAAAGTACTGCTTTGTTTCACTTCAAAAATTTAAGTTAAACTTATTTTTCGAATTTCCCTCAGTCCCTTATTCACTTTGTTTTAACACAAACATTTATCATAGAATTAGATTTATTTTAAAGATCTGTGAATTTTTTAAAATTATAGAATCAATAATCCAGTACTCGAATAGAACAATTATTTACAGGGAGTCTTCTTTTAAGAAATTTAAAGCAATTAGTCCTTTTGATAGATTTCGATAGTGTAATAAGAAGACGAAGATTATCCGAACCATGTAATATATTGGCGCAATACATTTTGAACAATCTGATCACACATATACTTGTTAAGAACATTTATATGTAAAAATAAAAGGTTAACCAGACTGGAAAAATTCAAATCCCTTTTGTGCATTCAAAAATAGTTTGTTCTCACCTTAAACCTACCCTGGTAATATTGGCTTATTATCCAGAGTGATTAGGTTTCAAATTGTGTTTACATCATTATTATTATTACTCTTATTATTATTCTTGTCTCCTCTTACCCCATTTCCAGTCTATATATATATACATAAATGTTCTTAACAAGTATATGTGTGGTCAGATTGTTCAAAACGTATTGCGCTAATATATCAAATAGTTCTGATAATCTTCGTCTTATTAGATTATCGAAAGAACAATAATAATAATAATAATAATAATAATAATAATAATAATAATAATAATAATAATAATTATAATAATAATAATAATTATTATTATTATTATTATTATTAAGAAGCATTTTATGACTAGTTTAAAATTCATTTAACCTGGTGTTACAAGTCCAATGGTTATTACAGTATAATCAGTTTTCACACATGTATTTTAGATAAATAATTATCTTCTAAAGTACCGTTGCAAATCAGAGAACATTGGACGACTATTTCGTACTTGTTTATTACTCAGAAGTATTGCCTATCCATAACTCTGTTCATAAGTCACCTGAGAAATTTCGCGTTTTAAAGTAAACTCCACATCTTTAAATCACTGAGTTGAAATTTAAACTTAAGTCAATTCATGTTAGTTACCATTACACACTTCCTACATGGTTGATTGCATTGGGCACAACTTTCTGTTAAAAGTTCAGCAGCTCTGTTTCAAAGCTATTTATGTATTTTATAGAAAGATTTGAGTAACTCGTCACAAAACCACTTGCAACTGAATAGTAATCTTTACACTTATATAGATCATTCCACAAATCACCTTAGATGGTAGACTTTCTTTGATTCTTTACCTTTCAAACTTTTTGTTGTTATTAAAACTCCTATGTTTATCCTAAAAAATGTGAACGATTTAGTAGGAAATGGTTCAGTTGAATAGTTTATCAAAATTCTCATTCCACTACTAATATATGAATGACAATTTCATCTCTTGTAAAAGTTAGTACTGACTGGCCAGAAATTCACAGGATTATTCAATGAATAACAATGAGGTATTTAGTTCTCATATTAAGAGAAACATGGAGATAGAATAACCTTTTTAATTGTTCTGCTTTTGTGAAGAGTAGATAGGAGGGACAAAAATAGGGAAAGAACTTGGATGGGACAGTTCACGTATTTTCCCAGTTTTAAACTACTCCAGTACATAAATTTTCGATAAAAACACCTAGATCTAGAATAATGGCCATATGCTTTATAGATACGATTCAATATGAATTAAATGCGTTGTATAATACTCAACAAAAAAATATCCCAATAAACCCAGAAACAAATATGTAGCTATGGATAAGAAATCTCTGTTTAGGATTCTATGACTTAGAGGTAACATATCCAGAGAACTGTTAATTCTGATATTATGCAAAGACATAAGATTTTCAATACTGGAAAACTACAGTTAGTGTTTTCTTTACATCTTTTGATGACGCTAACACTGAAAGATGAATGATTTGACCTGGTCAATTCTTTTTGTATTTATCAGTTAAATCATTTCCATGTATCCAGTTGCCTTAACCGATATTCTAGGAATTTACTTTTCCTTAGCTTAGCAAATGTGTCTTTAAAACTGTGGACATTAGATGTTAGATTACTTAGTTCAAACTTACCTTAAGGGAATTATTAGCTACTTATTTTCAGCAATCTATAACAAGCTCCAGATTCTTCAGATGGTAAAGGCTAAAAGTGTTTGAATAACAGAGCTAAGACTTTCAATCCAAGTCGTATGAGAAGTAGCGATTCAAGGATTCAGTTCACTTAATGAAATTACGATGTTGTATAACACCTGAAAGATCCCAGCTTCTCATTTGACATTGGGTTTGTAAACTTAAGCTTCGTTGTCAGTGTGTGTTGGAACTTAATTTCAGATTGATGGGTCGCTAATTAAATTTCCTCATGAAAAATGAATAATAATTCCACATGGCTTGAATCGAGAGTGCGCAATTATCTTATTCTCTACATGACTGAAATCCGTCAGACATAACCTTTCACCAGTACATCAGCAATCTCATCCAGGTAAGCTAATTCCTCACGCGTACATGATCGTTATTGGCTGGAGGTGTATGATATTTCATTTCGTTAACTGCTTTTAATATTAGGGACCCTAAACAGAATGTCAGAGTGATTCTGATATATATATATATATTTAGAGTGTATAACGTAGATTTATTTTATCTAAAACTTCTCACCCTGTCAAGTCTTAGTGTCAATAAGCTTTCAGTCGTCCAAGTAATATCTCTGATAATCCATTCGCTTGAGTGTTCTAGTTAACTTATCTATGTCAAAATCATAACAAAATTTATCCAAGGTTTTGTTGTCTAAAAAACCAAAAGGTTGTCTATTCCTTAAAAATGTTGGCACAAAACAGTGTAAAGTTTCTCTCAGTCTGAGTAAACTGTTCCAGGAACTCTAAATTATGTCATCATATCACAAAAAATATCAAAAAAAGGATGCTATGTTAAATAACTTACAACTATCAAGGTCTTTGCAAAACTATTCAAATACAAAACGTTTTTTATGCATGTACTTTACTTATCAGTTCCGTATAGTTAGATGTTATTGTGATTGGTTTATTTGTTATTCACAATTGTCAACACTATTATTTTCTTGGTAAATAGTAACTAGTCTAGAACAGACCATATATATCGGTTATTTCATGTCTGTTCACATATGTCTATTCTATGTCTCAATGTGCTCAAAATCGGGTTAAATTTTTCAATGTTAGTATTAATGACTATGTTTTATATTGTAAATTTCATGTACATGTAGTGTAATCCAGTATATTTAAGTTTTTGTAATCATGTACACATGCATACATGTGGTGTAAAGCACGTGGAAATCAATAATGCAAAGTTAAACTCACCTTTGTACAAAACACATTTTACTCTTTTTAAAAAGTGATTAATACAAATGAATCTTGAGAAAGGTTGTTTACATACATATTCATTTTAATAGTACAGGCTTTAGTATGTTAAAACAATATGAATTGGAATTGAAGAGAGAAGGATTATAATTTATGTTGTGATGATATTAATTGTAGTGTCGAAGATTATTAGCTTGGGACTCTTAAAATAAAAGAAATATACATGAATCTACTTGTTAAGAAGAATGACATATACGAAACCTTAGATAAATGTTTTAGTTTGTTTCCATTTACTCAATCATCACAACATGAGTTATCAGGTTTGGATATACTATTTAACAATATCTGCAAACTATAGTTATAATTCAAACATGGAAATGACGAATTATTCAATAATCATACAATAAAAGTAGATATGATGATTCCTCGTTGAATATTTGTGAAAATATCACTTTTCTCAAATATCCACTTTGATCTAATAGACTACTAGTTAGTGAATTATTTGTGCACATTACGCATGTATGCAAATAAATTTACGATTTAAATAAAGCAAGAACAAATATTGGTGTAGAATAGTATGAATTCATATTATTTCGAGGTTTCTCGTCAGCTGCTTACAAACCAAAAATGTGATGAGATTTAGATGGTGGTTGGAGGTAGTCGACAGGAAACCCTGGATCTGGGTTTCGTGTTACTTGGCACTCGTCAGCAAGGTGTACCTGTAATCTTGAAGGAACTGGTGCTCCCTGGCGGATTCGATCTCGTGTCACCCAGCTTCACAGTCAGAGACGTTACCACTGAGCTATCCGAGCCGTGACTAACCTCCTGTAGGACTGAGATGCAATCACAATTGATTGATCACTGGGTGTTGACTACCTCCAACCACCATCTAAATCTCAATACATAGTGCCCGCAGTGTCGAGTCACCTAGACTGTTGGCCACATTGCAACATGATCGATAGCATTCGATCTGCACTAATAAGGACTAGACAAGCATGACATTGATCACCACCCAGTGATCAATCAATTGCAAAAATGTGATAGAATTTTTACATTGAGATAGAGTGAAAACAATTGACATAGATGAGTGTAAATAACTGGGTTACAATAATAATTATAAATATATATATATGCTAGAACAGGTCAGAGGTCAAAAGGAATTAATCCAGGTTGGGTGGTGTAATAATGGAATTGAATAATCATAAGATAGGTTACGTAATAATAATTAAATAGAATTTGAAAAGTTAAGATAATTTAAGAGGATCAGGTGGTGGAAATGTGTGAATAATAATGTGGTTTAAGAATTATGTAATAGGGGAGGAGTATAAATATTTTAAAATAAATAAATAAATAATAAAATTTAAAAAAAAGGGTTACCAGGGTAGTGATAAGTTAATTAAAGTCTCTTTTTGGATGCATAAGACAGGTTTAAGTTTTTTTTATCATGATGGCTTCAGCAAAACGGAGGGTGGTCGTACTTCTTTGTCTATTGATAATTTTGAAAGCATGCGGAATGTCGATGGTGTGCCCGGTGTCAAGTAGATGTCGAACTATTGCGCTGTTGAAGGCCTTATTCCCTCGCAGCCTCAAGTTTTTTGGAACATGCTCAGAAATGCGGACATGCACTCTTCTCTCAGTTCTTCCAATGTATGTGCTTTGGCACGTACATGTGCATTGGTAGATGCAGTTGGAGCTACTAAGAAAAGCGGGCTTGTCGATTTTGGTTTGTTGAAGTGAGCAGTTCGTTTGCCATAATGTCATAAGTTTTACTACTGGGTAGGTGACTTTCAACGCAGAGTTTATTCTGTGATTAATTATTCCAGCAATCTTATCACCTTTGAAATGTAAGTGTAAGAAGCAGGTTTTCCTTTCTACTCCATCGTATTTTGTACGAGGATTGCTTTTTGCATATTTCTGGATAAATTTCAATGGGTATTCATTATCACGTAGAACATTAGTAATCAGATTAATTTCTGACCTGTTCTACCATATATATAATTATTATTGTAACCCAGTTATTTACACTCATCTACGTCAATTGTTTTCACTCTATCTCAATGTAAAAATTCTATCACATTTTTGGTTTGTAAGCAACTGACGAGAAACCTCGAAATAATATGAATTCATACTATTCTACACCAATATTTGTTCTTGCTTTAATTAAATTCATAAAGGGAACCAATTGCATGAAATTTACAATTAACAGTTCACTAAGTAGTAACCGATTTCATGTATGTCAAGTTCTTCTAAGCGCTGATTGAATTCTGACTATCAAGTTGCAATGTAGCCACCTTAAGTAACTACTACTACTACTACTACTACTACTACTACTACTACTACTACTACTACTACTACTACTACTACTACTACTACTACTACTACTACTACTACTACTACTACTACTACTACTACTACTACTACTACTACTACTACTACTACTACTACTACTACTACTACTACTACTACTACTACTACTACTACTAGGTAACTCAACATCACGTGCACTATGTTGAGATATATGGTGATAGTTAAAAATAGTCAACAGTATACCTCAGACCTACGTTTCAATCTGTTTGACACTCGTCAGTAAGACGTGCCTGTCGATGATGTGTTTTAGGGTAGGTCGGTTTTGGTCTCAATAGCTCAGAGGTGTATCTATGAACCGAACAAAATAGGTAAAAAGTACAAATTGGTGGTAAGAACAGTTATGTTCTTCACGTTGAATGTGAGTTCAACAAATAATAATTATTTTTTGTAGCATCATTTATTATTTATATATTTTTGCAAACAAATATTTCGAGAAGCCATGATAATCTTTTAATCTATTCAACCTTCGGTGAGTTGTTCCAATAAGTCTAACACTAGGATCCGGTTAGGATATCAGTATAAGACAAATCGTGACCGTAGCTTTAAATTTTATGGAAAGGTCAGAGACTGAAAGTAATTTTCAGCTTTCTAACAGCTGTTAAACAATATAGTGAATAAAATACTAATATAAATGCGAAATACAGACAGTCAATTCGGTACTGTACTGGAAGATTGACATACAGTTAGCCTAGTCAACTATAAACATTGGTAACACTATTAATGGAACATAAATAAATTTCAACCAACTGAAGTTCTCTCAAACCTGTGAATATCTTTTGAAATTTGATAGTTTTAAATACAGTAACAAGATTGAGTAGAACTAATGATAGAATGAAGATTAGATTTATGAGATAGACATTGTTAGACTTACTTTTTCTTTTCCCAATTAATAATAAATACTGAGCAATGTACTTCGTTTGAGTGTTATTAGTTTTAGATTTCGACTATTTCTATATTTGCGATATTCTAAGCATAATAGTATCGTTATCGACAATAATATAGTAACATTTGCATAAATCTCAAAGCTTGTAATGATTACTATTGTCCTGGCGACTTTAAGATTGATTGATATCATACACATAACAGAAAGCAATAAGTATCAGAAAATGTTTGCCCTGTAGCATTTGTGATGGTAGTTCTGCATGATTTCACTTACAATTCACTCATTTTTATTAGTTTCTTTAATGCTACAATTCGATCATGTTAAAGTGTAACCAGATTAAAATGAGGTTGTATGATTTATTGACAGTGTATTCCAAGCATTCAACAGGAACATGATTACACATACACTGGGGAAATTATTTTGATAATAATAATTTGTCATTTATTCAAGTAACTTTTAAACTTGAGAATCGTTACCGTGTGCGATAATTGTCAAAAAAGGTCCTGGGTTCCATTCCCGAGTGCGAGATTGTGGATGAGCACTGTTGAGGAGTCCCTTTACTAAGACGAAATGGCCAGCCCGTGCTCCAGCTTTTCAGTGATGGTCTAACTAAGATTTGTTACTAATATAAACTATGAAAATTCTATAAAATTCACTAATCCCCTGTATTAAAAATGTAGGTAAATTACTAAGTTGCACATTTGTTTCTTCCTAACATAAATAATTCTTTAAACAAAGGTGCAAACCGATTAACTGAAGAACAGCTAATTAAGCTAGTTAAGATTTTTCCTTTCATATATTTGGAACAATAAAATATACAAAATGAAAACTTTATGTTAGCAGGAATTTATTTATTATATTATAAAATATATTTATATGTAGGTTGATAAAACAGTAGTATTCAACTGTAATAAATCCCCAAACCATAAACTAAAAAGATTATCTGATACAATAGTGTACAAAACCTATGTACTGCAGTGTGAGTGAGATGTTACTATAGTTTTTGACAGCAAATAACATGTTCCAACGAACTCAAGGTTTAATATATAACATCCACTTTTTAAAAAAAAATTATTGTCTTGTTTACAATTTGTACTCAGTAAATAGGCAGAAAAAAGTGCGAACAAATGCCAAATATGACATGTCTAACTTTTTGTGAAATGTTCTTTTTCTTTGGTATGAAAATTCTATTTGTTCCAGATCAAAAAATGACTCACTCTTGAAATTTTGAATGGCTCTTAATATCCTCAGGACAATCACATTAGTTAACAACAGCTATTGATCATGTATTCAAATATTCAGAATGCGCAAATGATGGCACTGATGAGGACTTCTATGTTAAGGGCGAAACAAGTGTCTAATGGTCATTCTTTTTTAACAGTACTCTGGTTGATGTCAGTTTAAAATGAGAACTAGTAATAAACCACTTACTACTCATATGACTGGAGTTATACGATCTCTAGATACTTTTTTACCAGGTACATGAAAATAGACCATACCACGTATGGTAACAATTTGAGAAATATCAAAGAAGGTGATAGTGAATAGCTACTATCTTCTCTCAGTGTCATGTCTACAAGGCCTATCAAAAT